AGGAGCACCAATTTTAGGAGCATCTTTTTTATTTATGTAATTTTTTGTCTTGCATCTTGGGTTGCTCCAGAGCAGCCTCTGGGAATGAGCTGCTTTTGACTTCAGTAACATATGTCAAACTGTTTCACTACATTGAATCCAAACCAGAATACAATCACCATTATCTTGTAAAGCTGTGACACAGGCCACTGGTGTATTACACAAAAAGCAACTGTCAGACTCAGTGAATATCTCTGCAGCCCAAAACAAACAAGTGAAGTCAAATCTGCCCATTTGTTGAGATCTCTTTGGAAATATTCTCGTGCAAATAGTGTGAGGGTCTAAAAATGGATCGCTGCCACTTGCAATGCAAGACAGTTGCTCAGTTACACAGTATTGCACTGCATTGAAATGAGATGCATTGTTTTGTTGTACCATCTGCCACCGCCAAACAGGTGTGACTCAATTCAATAATATGATGAAGGAGGCGGTTGAGCATCGGCTTTGGCAGAGCGCTGAATATCACGTACTATAGGTGACATTGGTGGGTGCCTCCTTTTAGGATTGTTGTGTGGGCGTTGTGTTTCTCTCCATCACGCTGTATCATTAGCTGTGCTTTGTTTCACTTCTTTGTGTCGTACTTTGTTGCATACTGAGTTGAATCATGATCAGGTTGTTAGTTGTCAGTCACTGTGTGGTCACACTGAGCTGCATTCATCTATTTAATCTTTCTATCCGTGAAGTCCTTTAAAACATGCGTGTCATGCTACGGTTTTCACAATTTGATTATGAGATTGTTGTGTAATGCAACAATTTATTTTTAAAACTGCTATAAATAGCTCTCTTGTTGTCAAAATTTCACATGAACAGGCAAATTATTTATTTAAAAGACCAAAACCAACAACGACTTGATCCACTAACAAGTAATTCCCTGTGTGGCAGTTTATTCCTTTGTGCCATAGATCTCCATTGTTGTCCAAAAACTATTAAAAAACACATCAACTAGCCACCATTTTGCACCGGCTGACATGTTCTTTCATTACCATGAACCCACGCACTGTCGTTTATTTTTAGTTTCCAATCCACATCATAGACGGTGCTGTTAATACTCATTAAACCACAGCTGAAAATAGACTCCAACAAATGCACTACTACTCCTGGTAGATTAACATTTTCTAAGAAATACAATGCTTGGCTGCTTTAGGAAATTACCAACCAATCCCCAGAATACATTACATTTCTGCAAACCATGGATATGTTACATTTGCACATTATTTTGTAGTGGGTGAGATGAAAGGAACAAAAACAACTTGATTATGGTGAGCAAAGATCATGCTTTGGCCTAAAATACCTGCTTCTTGTGGCACTGTTCTGGCAGGAAGTGCAGCCATGTCTTGGTCAAATAAGGGGCTTTTTGTGGCACTTTCCCATCCACGAATGCAGCAATGTCTTAAAAGCTTGTTTACAGTTGCTTGATGATTTTAGCATCTTCACTTCTTCTTCTTTTTTTTTTTTTTTTTTGTTTAGAGATTATTTTTCGGGCTTTTTGCCTTTAAATGACAGGACAGTGTGGAATGGGGAGAGAGAGAGAGAGAGAGAGAGGGGGGATGACATGCAGCAAAGGATTACAAGCCGGAATCGAACCTGCAATCAGTGCAGTGAGGCATCCTCTCTGTACATGGGGAGCCAGCACTATCCACTACGCTACTGACACCCCTAGCATCTTCACTTCTGATGGTTAATCCATTGAATGAGTGTCCCAGGGGCGGAAATCCTGGGGGGGACAGGGGGGACATGACTCCCCCTTCAATAAAGCTGTACCCCCCTAGAATAATTTGAGACACAATTAATAATTTTTGAACAATGCAGTAGTATTTATTAAAAGCACAATGTAAGCAGTGCTTATTATAAAAGCTCAATAATGTGCTATTTAAATCTTAAAAGATTTAGCCCCCCCCTCCCATTCCTAGTAGTGGTATATCCCACACTCTTTCCAACGGGCGGGGCTAGCAGCTGTTAGTACTTGGCAGCAGTTGCAGCATGTGGCTGGACCCGGCTGCCCACATCGCGTGGGGTAAGATGTACACTCACACAGATACAGTTTAACTTACACAAGTTACAACACATCCCATTTCCTGTTACAACAAGCCCCAGGCCCAGGCTGATAATATAAACTGTCTGCAACATTTCTCCTGCATTGTTCAAAAGCCAGAGTTTAGTGATAGTCAGAGAGGACAGGAGAGAAAGAAGAGGGAGAGGACAGGACAAGAGCAGTCAGTGACGGAGCGGCTCGTAGTTAATATCTGTAGGCTCTCCACCTGTCAGTGAGACAAACATGACAGACGTGCAGTTTAACTGACGAGGAGTGGCCATTACGCGCGAATATTACGCACGGTTTTGAGGTGCGCAGCGGCAGATCTCACAGCACACTGTTTATAAACCAGTTTAATTGCAGGAAATGTTTATCTCACTGCCAGTAAAAAAACAAACAAAACGGTTTGCTTCTGCAGCCAGCCAGAGAAAAGGATCCATTCCACACACCTGAGCCAGATGAAAAAGAAGGAGAGAAGGAGAGAGATCGAGTTTCGGTCTTTGATGAATGAAGTCTTATTGTTTTGCTGCTATTAAACAATGAGAGACATGTTTTCTACGTTTACTTAATAGCATAAATATTCACACTACTGCGCACGGGGAGACAGAGACCTGCTCTTCTCCAGACACACTCAGCACCTTGGACAGCACGGCGCACCTGACTGTTGTCGTTGTGTACATGTTAATTTGATTTCAATCATTTTGTTTTAAATCTGGACATGTGCAGGTGGACTCAGCCAGTGCTAAGAAAGGTCCTATGCCTGCCTGTTGGAGAGAGAGAGAAAAGATTAAAGCGTCAAATTGCGGTAAAAGATGTTGTATAAAAGACAGGCTACAACTTTTTTTTCTTGTCCCCCCCTGGAATTATTCTCTAAAATTTTACTGTTTATTGTCCCCCCCAACTATGAAATGGGATTTTCGCCCCTGGAGTGTCCTCATGCACCTACTTGGGTAGATGGATAGATGACAAGCTTTCATTTAATGTACATATTGCTGCTCTAGTGAGGAAGCTTAAAGTGAAGATTGGCTTTTATTTTAGAAAAAGTCTTGTTTTACTTTCAGTGCTACGAAAAAAAAACTTGTGAAGGCTACTTTTCTGTCTGTGATTGATTATTGTGACATATTATATGCATGCGACCTCCTCCATTTTATGTAGCCTTGATCTGGTGTACCATGCATCTCTACGTTTTATTAAAAACGCAAATTCACATACTCATCACTGCATTCTTTATGATTTGGTGGGTTGGACGTCATTGACCACTTGCAGACAACAGCACACAGTGATGTCTCAGTCAAACACAACCGCTTTTTGTGGCACTATCCTTGATAAAAAAAAACGCAGTGATGCATGGCTAAAAAGCTGCTGGAAAAGCAGCAACAACAACCGTTGTTGTCTGTCTGGAATGAACGTTTGTATGAAACGTACAAAAGTAACATTTTCGTGGTTTGCAGAAATATACATTGCCAACGTTGTCTTTTGGCTACTAGGCTGAAATTACAGAACCTTTTTTAAAAATACATTTGTGACCAAATTTAAAAAAATGTAAATCTTGACTAAGAACAAATGGACTTTAGGCTCAGTACTTCAGAAAGGGCAGGAAGGTAATAAAGTTCTCTGAGATGGACTAACACGGTGACACATTGTTTACATGCATGAAATATTCAGTTTTTTGCCCTTATTCCCAAAAAGACAATATTCCTACAAAGCTGTTGACATGACTGATTAAAATAATTATTACACTAATAAAAAACAAAGCTGACTGTAAACAGGCAAGAGGCAATGTGTTGCAAACTGCAGTAAAAATCTGTATTGACCCTTCACTAAGTCCCGCCCCCGGACGCAGACTGGCCAGTCATAATGTAGCACCGGACCAGCTCAGACCAGGGTCCGAAAACAACACAGCTGTGCTCCATTGACTCTAATGCAGTCGTCTCAGATTTCCTTCATTTTCAGGCTGGTTTTGTGGATTTGGAGCTAAATGTTGTGTCTGGGGCACGTCGTGTATTAATGATACTCGTTACCTGGAGAGGTTGGAAAAAGATATACGTTTCTTCCCTGTTCCAAAACCAAAATCAAACCCTGAAAAGTGTAGGGTTAGCTAGCTAGCTACTGAAGATTTAGCCTACTGAATGTATACACATGCTGCTTTTGCTTTTTAATGATTATAATAGTGAAACAAAGAGCGACCCTGCTGTACAGGAACCAGTGAAGGGAAGCAGGGGAACTTTGCTCATATTCAACCAGCTGTGTGTCATTGCAGTGTGCGCAGATGAACGTTGTTTGACTTCCTATGGAGATCCCAGCCTTTCTGGCGATGGAGGTCCAGATGCTGGCAGCAGCCAAACACCGTTCATCTGCACACACACTGTGATGCCACACAGCTGGGTCAATATCAGCAAAGTTTCCCTTTATATTCATTGTCTTGTGTGGCGATCAGCAGTGATGTGGTGGTTCACTTTTACACTGTGATCTGTAGCCTATAGTTCGGCTTTAGCTTCTAACTATCTTTGTCTTTTTAACCTGTTGTTGCTGCTGAGTCAGTTTGACATCCTGGATTTATCCTTGAAACACAGACTGTAGACCCCTCTGTCTGCTTCTCTCTGTAAACACATTCATTTTTCCTAAAACATGATGATATTTCTTCAGGGAGTGCAGTTTGTTACAGTTTGGGCTCCATGCTTGCTCACAAAGTGGCAGGGCTTAGCGAAAGGTCAATTGGGGATTATTGGAAATTTTTAAACAGAGCCTGGTGTTTATATGACCTGCATCAAATTACATATATTGCCATGTTCGGAGTAATATTATCCTGAAGCACATTTCCCCTGATTTACTAATTTGTCATTTTCTGTGGGGAAGAAGAACACTTCACTGCAGCAGGAAGCGTAAACTCTAAAATGTCTGTTATTATATAAATTAGAGTGAAGCTCACCTGCTGTGGCTCTGGTAGCTTTTTACTTTCTGGGGCTGTTTCCTCCGTCTGATTCTGGAAGCAGTCGCCCCCGGTCTATAGGAGTAGAGGGAAAACATCTCAGTGCCGTGTAGAGAGTGCATGCTGGGAAGTTTTGTCAGCTCCCCAGCTGTGTGTATTCAGTGAACACACAAGATAAATCGACCAGCATCAATGACATTAATATGCCTTTTTGATTTTCACCAGAAAGCTACCAGAAGTTTCATTGACTTTTTCTACAACCACACAATTATCTAATTAATTTTCTCACTTGACTTATGACAGTAATTTAGTTAAGCTGTTTACATGTATTAGTATTACAGATTTCTAGTAATTAAACTGTTAGATTAATTATTTATCAGACATTTCACAGTAAATTAATCAACAGCAAACCTGATAAATGAATAACGGATAATTGTAAAGTAATTTAACAGATATAAAATGTCTAACATTTGGTGGTTCGAGTGAAGATCTGCTGCTTTTCTAAGGTTTTTACAGTATTGTGGTAAATTGGTTTAAACTGCTGGTCAGACAAAAACAGACAAGCAATTTGAAGATGTCACCTCTGGCTCTCAGAACCTGAAACGAGCATTTATCATCATTTTCTGACATTTTATAGACTAAACAATCAGTCATAAAATAATCAATACAGAAATTAATCAGCAGCTGCAGCCCTACAGGATGTGCTATTATTATTCTCTTTCAGAATGGCACATATGGCTACGAGCGGCGTCAATCATTTCCCTGCTGTGATGCACTTGAAGCCATTTTGTGCCCATGGAAATCATTTTGCCTTCACTGCTTGTTATGGCCCAAACAAAGCTTCATACAGGATGAAACACGGCCACTACAGAGTCTATTAACTTCTCCTCTCTAATCTTCTTACAGAAATTGTGAATTACTTGCTGGAATCACCTGCTGTACACAAAGATATTTGGATGCCTCAATCTGCATGAGGGATGAGTGACGAATGAACGTGAACGCCTGGATGTGTCAAACCCCCGTGACATAATCTCCAGCCTAATTCATTTTACAGTATATTAAAAATGTTTCACCCAAGACCAACTGTCTTGAAGAGGTGGTGAGGTAAACCCAAAATCAAATATAAAAGTAAGTATTTTCAACACTTCCTGTGAATACATTCCACTTTATCTGATTTCCATAAATGTATTTTGTATATACTCTGTGTTAACACCGTATTATGAAGTCACATGTGTAGCCTGGGCTGTTTCAGTGCATTTACCATAAAGATCAGAATACAGGGGCACTCAAACTTTAGTGGCAGCTGGTTAGATAGATTTTTTTTTTTGGTGTAACAACCCTCGCAAAATGACTTGTTTCACTATCGGGACGTGATTCAGAGCTGCATGATTAAATCAGTTTATCCCCATTTAAGGTATCAGAAGGCTAAAGGGGCAAGATATACTCACTCTGACATGTCATGGACTTGCTATGTCGAGATACTAGTCTTTGAAAGGTTAACATTATAAGGCCTTGATCACACAGAAAGTGTTTTAGCAGCTGGAGGCGGATTTTTGCTCACTGTTTTTGCGTTGCTAGGCACCTCACATTTCTGCGCTTTGGGTGCCTGGTGTTTTTGCCTAAGTGCTCTGAACTCTTCGAGTTGAAAAAACTTCAACTCAGAGGGGAAAAGGGCATCTCATCATCTCCGCTTTCATCCAATTTTCCAGTCAGTTCATTTGAGAGGAGGGGCTTCTGTGGTGGTCATGACAACAAGTTTACAGTTGGTAAACAATAGAGGAGAAACTGGTGGTAGTGTTTGCTGGATACCCAGAGCTATACGACTTAACAAACCACAGTTACTACATCCTAACAGAAAACAGCCATCAGGAGCAGGAGGTGAAGCTACTGGACCAACTGGTGGTACTCCCCGTGATAGCAGAAGGCTTAATGGGCAACACATTCTCACTCTGATCTTGTCACAGATTGACGTTTGATAATGGACTTGCTATGTCGAGATACATCGTCCAAGGTACCCTGGGTGCATTGGTTGTTGATGTTCTGGTACGCCGTGTCAACTTCAGCCTGTTACATGCATTGTCTGTTTTCAAACTACACTTCCGTTTTCACAGGAAATGTACAGTTTGCATACAATCTCTTTCAAAATAAAAGCACTAAATCCGTATGGTTTTGGTTTTACATTCAAACAGGAAGGAAACACCGGTGTCCCAGGTGAAAGTCGGTGGTTATTGGACCCATCTGTCACTCCTCGAGTTGAAAAAACAAAAGGGCACCTCATGATCTCTGCTTTTATCCAATTCTCCAGTCAGATGATTTGAGAGGAGGGGCTTCTGTGGTGGCCATGACAACAAGTTTACAGTTGGTAAACAATGGAGGAGAAACTGGTGGTAGCAGTTGCTGGATACCCAGAGCTATACAACTTTACAAACCACAGTTACCACGGTCCCAATAGAAAACAGCCGGCATGTAAGCGTAAAGGTGCAGTACTTGAAACGGCCCGTGAGCCACCCTCTTTTTTACGGTCTCACTTACCCACACAGATCTCTGTTTCCCTGTGTCCAACAAACTATTTACTGACAGCCTCTCACCCTCAACCAGAACTACAGTAAGTACCCTCTGCCTCAACATTTTAGTAACTAGATACTAATTACTGTGAATTAAATTAAAATAAATTAAAAAATAATAATACATAAATAAATAGACGGTGGATTGATTGCACAGGAAGGATAGTGTAAGGAGGTGATTGGGCGGTTGCCTGGCAACAATAAAAACATGCAGCAAGTGTTTTTTTTAATAGTGGCATTCAATTTTTAAAAAATAAATGCAGTGCAGTGCGCCTTGAGTTTTGCACCCTGCAAAATACTTTGTGTGATCTGGGCCTACTAAAATACTAACAACATTCAGAAATACAATACTTGAACTGTTTGTGATTACTTTAACATTATTTGCAAAGTTAATTTCTTAATATCTATTTCTTAACTTATTCTAAAAAAAAAAACCTGAATGAAAACAGTTCCTTGTCAGTTAAGCGAGGCAGGAGGTACTGTAGGTGGGGTGGGCCGCCCCCTTAATATACTGGAAAGGGAAACACTAGTACAGCAAACCTATCACATTTCATTTTGAAACTGAAGCGTAGACTGCGAGCTATACACGCTGATACAAACTGTCTCTCCTCATTTCCTCCCAGCCTACAGGGGGAGGAGGACAGGGGGAGATGTGACGGTGTTCACGAGCAAACGCAATATCTGAGTCTCTGTTTCAAATATGTCTCCTCTTATCTGTATCAGAATGTTTCTCCCTCTCGCTGCAGGATTTTTTTTTTTTACAACCCTGCCAAAATTATACAATCAATTATGGGACACCAGTGAACATTGTTTTTGGCACAATTCCATTAAAGAACAATCTCTTTGACACGGTTTGCGCAAAGGGTAATTTCCTCACTGGGTGGCATGTCTCCATACTCCCCTGTCTCCAGTGGTCGATCAAGTTATATCTGTAATAGTTCTTGATAGCCACTTGTCAGAAGTCCTTATGGACCTGTTCACCTCCCCCTGCTTTCTTCATATCCTGTTGGTTTTGACAGAGCCTTCCTGATAACTGACTGCTCACACCGCCTGGATCTTAGAGAGGCAAGTCTGTGACTATAAGGTACCAAAGTCCTCCAGAAAAAATCTGAATAGAAGAGGTCAGTGACTGCTTCTCTCTTTCCTCCCTCAATAACTGCTTTGAAAGTGCCAGCAAGGCACTCAGCTCCCTCAAATGTTCTAAGATCCTCAGTGTAAAACTCAGTGTATGTTTGCACTGAGCAAGTGCAGCTGTGAGTGAAAAGCTCTTTGATGTTGGTGTGAATGTGCAAATGTTATCTTCACTGCAACTACAGTACTGCCCCATGCCTCTGCAGTTTGCTGGGAGATTTAAGGCTGCGACAAACAGTTAAGCTCATTATTGATTGATCTGAAAACAAAATAATTAATTAATTAATCAAAAAAACATTTACAAGCTCTCACAGCTACAGGGGACTTTTCCCAAATTGCTTGTTTTATCTGACCAGCAGTACAAACCCAGAGATGTTCAGGTTGCAAAGACAAAAGAAAAGCAGCAAATTCTCACATCTAAGAAGCCGGACCTCAGCAGTGTTTGAGGATTTACTTAGACAAGTGATAGATTATTAGTATAACCAATTTTCATCATGTCAACTCAAGAACACTGTCAAAATAATCCATAAATAATTATTTCTATGGTATAATCATTCCCTGTGGCACACTCCAGGCTTTGAACAATGCATGTTATTCTGTAGTTTGGCTTTAATGAAACAAATGTGCTTAATGAGGTCACATGACCTCAGCAATTTTTTGAAGTTTGTACCCAGAGCTTTTTATTATTAAAACGGTTTAATTTACTGTGACATAAAATAGAAAAAAGTAGACTTTTTTTTTTTTTTGCATTTTGAGAGCAGATAATGGAGAGATTTACCAGTCTTTCTTGAAATATAGCTTAACTGCAGCCCACTCGCCAAAAGAAAATGTTGGCATTGTACGTTTCTTCAAACCACAGATACATTACTTGTGCACGTGTCATATGTATCATATCAACGTTTCTAAAGTGATGCAATAGAAATTTAAATTAAGCAAGACATTGCTGCCTTTTAAACTAGGATAATGGCATGAAAAGTGATGGTTTTTTTAAGAGACATTGCTGCGTTTCCAGAGTGGATTGTGATGATCGCACCAAAAATTGAGCATAGCATTAGTTCCAGCAGGACGCAATGTCAAGCTCAGCTCATATCACAGCTACATCAGCTGATCTCATTCAGGGTGCCCTATTTAAACTGCTCTGGCCTGCCTACTGTTGCTGCTTCCTCTGCAAGCTGCTTTGCAACCTACCTCCACCCCAGCTCCTCCTTTTTATGTTTTGTCTGACTGACTCAGTGTAATTTCTTTTTGTCATTGATGGTGCTCTGTTCTGTTCCCAGGGGGTCTTTGCTGCTGCTCTCCCTGCCTTAGGCTTTCCATGTAGGCGCATGGAAGGGCAGAGATGTTTGCTCTCTCTGCCTCAGGCTTTCCTCATTTGCATGTGGAGGGGCAGAGAGTTTTGCTCTCTTTGCCTTGGGCTTTCCATGAGGCAAGCAGAGGGGCAGAGAGGTGTGGTCTGCTTTTCCACGCGCCTTGTGGAAAGCCTAAGGCAGGGAGGCCTCAGAACAGAGCCATACCACCAAATATATTACTGCAAATGGAAATAAAGTTTTCTTTGACTAAAGTGTTCCTGACTGAACTGGATTTTTTAAGCAAAAATATCTTTTCTAAATGATAATGAAGTGTTTTTTTGTGCCCAAACTTAACCACACATTAATGACTGCATTGTTAAAGTGTAAAGAAGCCTAAAGTTTCAACCGTATACTGTATAAAATAATGGATGTAGCTACTGTGACATCATCCATTGGTTTTTGGACTGAGTTCAGCATTTCAGCTGTTGCCGTCTTGTTTTTTTTTTTTTTTTTTTTTTGAGCCAGCAGTGACCATGTTTGGACGAGAGGATGGAGCTTTACTCTGTATTGGAACCAGCCCAAAGTGGCCATGCCAGGAACTTCAGTTTTTGGCACATTGGCATGAGCGCTACAGCACAGTATCACAATATTATATTTTTTTTATTATTTAAATTGTTAATATTACTAATAGAAATTAAACCTTAGGTAGCCTAGTAGAATAATATAATAAATTGCTTTCTCAGTCCACTAGATACACTTGGCTGCAAAAAGTAAAGTGAAATGAACAGAATAAAACCTTTGGGACATAATTAACAGTTGAAAAAGGTAATTGATTGTAATAAAGTGCAATATATTTTATTACAATACATAGCATATCACGACTTGACGACTCAAGTGTTGTGATAATATCATATTGTGGATCCTCTGGTGATTTCCACCACTATTCTGCATTGGCTTTATTTTTCAGCACTCGAGGTCGCCGCTTAGTTTCAATAATGTACACATGTAACGTACCTGTGGTTTGCAGAAACGTGCAATGACAACATCTATTCTGGGGACTGGGCTGTTAAATAAGCAATTCTCAAAATAGTTGCTGATTATTTCTTTATGGATTGACTAATCAATTAATCAACTTAGTTTTAGCTGTACTTTCTACTATAGTCTGCCTATGGATATGCCACAGAGGAAATTGGAATCCTTTGGTAGTGTTCAATAAAAAGTCAAGAAATGATAAGTGTAAAGGTTGGACTAGATGAAAACTAAAGAAAGTAACATCAGGCTGAAACTTGTTGCAGTCCTTATGTAACATTTTCCAATTAATGAACATAATAAAGACACTCAGAGTGAAAGTGGCTTGTCCAATTTCTGATGAGACACTTGATCATGAATTCAGTGAACAGATGAACCTCATGGATTCAGGCCCTCGGGTCATACAGGCCACTCTAAAGGCTCACCTTTTCCATCTGGCAGTCTTTAACTCCGCCACTCTCTCTCCTCATTACTCCGATGTTCACGGGTGATTTACTGGCCGTAACAATTCTCTGAACTTTGGAGATATCCTGTTGAGAAAAAAAGGAGAACATTTCAACATAGGGTTAAACATAAAGAGTATATGGCTTGTTGTCGTTGTCGTTGTCAAGTAAGCAGTTCTGATTTAAAGGTTTATGTCTGTTTAATTTATACTCGTTCATTTAAACTCATTCAGCTTATTTATTTGTGGTAAATTAATCATGGCTGGTATGACTATTTCAGAACAGGCTGCCAGAAGGGCAAAAGAAACAGAGTGCTGACAAACTAAAAAGAGAATTATTGAAATACCAAGGCTTGGAGGTGAACACAGTAATATTCAGTCGTCACATATCCAGTACCAAGATCAAAAACTTTTCTTAATATTTAATGTTTCTGAACAAATAGTTTTTTAATTTGAACAACTGTAGTTAGAAGCCAGACTCCACATGCACACCACCACACCAACTGTTTCTAAACTCTGCTTCACAAATCAGTCTTAAAACATGTAAAATAATTCTCATCAAAAATTAATAGCCACAGTGATGATGATGATGACGATGAGTAGTGACCACAGAGTTGTGTTTTGTTAGTCTTATTTGAAACCAAGGTCTGCAGCCATGCTAGCTGCTGTGTGAGGCTGCGCTTAGCACAGTGTCAGCATGCTAACATGCAGATATTAAGTATGTATAATGTAAACCATCTTATTTTAGAGTGTTAACATTAGGGCTGTACCTGACTCAAAATTATAGCAGTCAAATCAGATTTAGCTTTTCAGTATGAATATTTCTTCTTCTTTTTTACCATATAGAGTTTGACAGTTTGAAAAGGGCTCAGTGGGGCGTTCAGTGGGACAGTGACATTCATGTACGATAGGAAACGAGCTAACTACGCTACTGACAGCATCAGAAATGTACAATATTTTTCAAACACAATGAGTTTAGTGTTATTTTTTACACCACAGTGTTGGTTGAAGTTTTGCAGTGCTGCAGTGTGTTGGTCAGCTGGTCGAATTTGGTCTGTTTGCTGCTCCGCTCTGTTACCGTTGCCCTCTGGGTGATGTTGTAGAAAGTCACAATTTACTTCCTGTTTGTCTTTCAAATAAAATAATTTAGACATTAAATTAACACGTTTGTAACTGCTGGCTTTTGGGAAGATCAATTACAAGTTAACTCAAGCGTGTGTGCGAGCTTAAGACTGTCCGAGTCCTGCACTACCCTCATCATTGAGTTCTGCTTTTTTGTTTTTTGTTTTTTTTTGCTCTGTCAACATCACATTATTAAGTAACATTTAAGAAATCTATTATTGACATTTGTGAATCAGTGCTAATTAGGGATGCTCCATAATATCGGCATGTTATCGGTATCGACTGACATGCTGATAATATTGGTACGTCATCTGTATGAGTCAATTTTTTCTGATTTTGCACAATGAATGAATATTACATACATTGAAAAGCATTATATTTCATGTCTCCATCTGCTGGTGGGCCATCACAATAAGAGCATGCATCATTAAAATTAGGTATGGAAAAGAATGTGTACATCAGTTTCGGTTATCAGCCAAATGAGTTATATATCAGTGTATTGGACACTGGCAAAAAATTTGATATCGCCCATCCCTAATGCTGATTATCTCATGCTGCGAATAATCGGAATGCACCTAAGAATCAAATCCAAGTGATTCCAATTGATTTGAACTGGTTGAAACACTGAATAAACAGTTTCATATTTAAAAAAAAAAGTCTGTCTCTTTCTGGCGGTCTCATCATGGAGGGGCTGCTAAGTACAGTGGCCAACATGAAAACACAAATGGCCTCATCTAAAGCCAGTGTTTAGTTTGTCCGCTTTGGGCTACAGTAGAACCATGGCAGCGCAACATGGTGACCTCTGTAGATGAGTACACACTCCCTAAGTAGATATAAATGACTCCCTCTAAGGTACAGAAAACACTAGGATTCTTATTTTCAGGTGATTACACACTTTAGGAATCATACTTATCATGTTATATTCCATTTCTGTCTCTATATCCCCCTACATCCTACACAGTGGACCTTTAATGTCTGTGTAAACATGCCCAGGTCAGCTCTCAGTGAACAGTAAGCAGAAGTCTGGGAGGTAGAGTTACAATTTACAACTGTGAGAGCTGCATATTCTGGACAATGATGCTTCAGTGAAGTGACCCACTGCAAAAACTGCCAAAGCAATGTCAAGGCAGTGGGAGGAAAACAAGATGGACAGCCAGAGATGAAAAGGTTCTCTCTGGAGTATGTAGAGCGATCTATATCACTACCACCTGAAATGATGTCTGTATGAAGAAGCGTGGCTCTGGCGAGGCTGAGGTGCTTTGAATCAGTAAGAAATGCTCTATGCTACAGGCCTAAAAAATAGTAAATAAAAACTATAGATTTCAGGAGGGTTACACGTCAGGCTTCTGTGAACTCTTTTTCTATTGCATACTAGACAATATTCGAATACTGATGAGTGATGCTTAGCTACAGTCAGTCTAAGACCCCTGAGTGGGTGTATAATGTAGACAGTATATATTCTTGTTTCTTATTGTTGAAATAAACTCTTAACGTGGCTGAAATCAAATCCCTAACCTGTTCTGCATAATGTTTCTGAACTATGGTAAGAGCATTTGTCACTTATGTGCACTTGCTGGCAGTAAGATAGAATCACATATATATTTTATCAGAATATTTCAAACCATGAATTCATCAGAAAAGTTCGTGTTAAACTGTTTATGGCTGTTTATAGCTTGATAATTACATAATTCAACCATTGTTTTTTGTTCACGGCAGCAAGGAGAGGGTTCATTTATGCTCAACATTAGATATGGAGACAGACTGAGCCTCCTGTCAGTACTTTGCATTCATTTTATCCATATGCATGTTTTCTGAAAGCTTACGGATATGAACAAACAAAGCCGTGTCACCGGAATTGTGGGGGCAGTGTAGCTTAGCTAAAGCAAAAAACTACAGTGGGAGATGACGAAAACATTTTAATGATGGTGAAACAAATTGGTAATATATGTAGAGGAAATAGTGACAAGAATTCTCCGTCCACATGTTGGGATGTATATAATGGCCGCACAGACCACCACCATCTACAACGCTCCCTCCGTTTCAAAGTGCAATATTATGACCTCCTCTACCATCCCCTTGTTCGTTGTATAATACTTGTGACTCTGCTCTCTAGTGCCATCCATTGGCTATAGGGTTGCCTCCTAATATTCAACCAGAAAGGTCATTAGTCAGCAAGAATTCATGGTCGCTAAGTCACAGAAAAAAGAGGAAAAAAAGGGGACACTCTATTAGGATCTGCACCTTGTCAAAATAAATCAAAACCTATATGACTGGACCATGTGGGAATTTACTTTGAAAGGACAGACACAGGAAGTGTCCACGCTCAGCAATCAGACAGGAGTCAGGTTAATTTCCAGGGCTGGTACCTGCGGTTATTCCACAGGCTAGTTTAATAACATGTCGGGCAGGAAATCCAAAGTGTGGGATCATTTTGAGAAGGTGAAGGACGAACCCAAGGTGATATGTAAACTCATCTTCATTGGTCGACTACAAACATGACGTATCATGTGAAACATGGAACAGCACTGCCACAATTAGTGTATGATGGAAATGTTTCTGATTTTTGCATCCACAAAACTGCAAAGAAGTGCACAATAACCCTGCCGGCAGGCTCCCTGACAGTATAGTTCGGAGAAGATCGTGTCAATAACTGAGTGTGGAGGATATTTTTTCTGCTCAGGACCCAGAATACAGTGAGTGCCTTCTACTTGCATAGGGAATATTCACATTATTTAGGGTCGGCTCAAGTTTTCTCCCTCAGTGAGGTACATACTTTACATTATTACTACATTATTTCAGCAACAAGCCAATCAAAAAGCTAGATACTTGGAACAATCTGTACAAGCTAACTGTACTGATGACCTATAGACCAGTGGCTCATGTGGGCGTTGAGACCAAAATTCAACACAAGAAAGGCCAACCTGTCAATTGATGTCTAACCTGAAATATGTCGACATTTACAAGCAGTGCAGAAAATTTACATCCTTGACTTTTCCTACAATCGCTCCTTTTTTTAGTCCGTTTCCAGACACGATCATTTTGAAATAACTGAGCAGTATAATGCAAAACTAAAGAAATGATGTTTGGACCAGATACTGTATTTTTCCCTGCTGTCTCCCACATATTGTTGTGTAGGCACCAAACAGTAAAAGATAAACTGAGTTTGCACGGCACATATCTCTCCAAAAGTAGCCCCGTATGTCTTGTGCAGCCAGTGTTCTGCACCAGGCTGGTACATAGTACCTTCCCTAACTGGGTCAACAGTGGTCTCTTGAGAGCATAAAGCAAGATGAACACAAGCAATCTTAACCTGTCACTGTCAAACTGCATTCTTACTTTGTCAGCTGAAACAACATCTTTTTAGGCAGGTTCAGTAGAATTGGCTTTACTTGAGGAAGTGCCCGCTTTTGGGCAAACACTTCATGCATTATTTCCTGACTTTTGACAGCATCCGTCAGAACCAGCAACATTTTACAGTACAGCAATGGAGGAGGGAAGGCATTGAACATGCTCTTTGTCTCCATAAGAAGGGCCCTATGAAGTCAGGTTTAATTTTTCTGAAATTGCATCCTCTATTTTTAATTTTTCTGAATTCTGTGTTTTATGATTTAAGCACATTTTATCATCAGAAAGAGTGTCTGATTATGTGTGGATGAATAAAACTGAAACAATTGAACAAGGAAATAACCAAAATTTAATGAATGCTAATGAATTTGATGTAACACAACCCTGCAGTATTTTTTATCAGGGAGAGGAGCTGAGCCCCGTCCTTAGGGAGACAACAACACAGAGCAGAGAACAGAAGCACCTGTAACTGACACCAAAACATAGCAGCAGTATTTTTTAGCTTTGTTCATTCAGCTCAGGCACTGTGATAAAACCCATGAAATGCGAAAGCAAGGCCAGAATTTTTTAAAGGACATCCGTATTTAGGCTAATTTCACGATATTCCGCAAATTACAGTTA